GCAAGACGGGTATTTTCTCCTTTCTTTCTGCACGCCTTCGTGGTTTAACGGTTAGCCTAATTGGCGCGCATTCCAGAGGTCCAGCTTCGAGTTCCGTCGAGGGCATTGCTCATTTTTCATGTCTCCTGTTTGAAAATAACCTAATGACTCTACAGTACAGTGGCGAGGGCACTGCTCATTTTTCCCGCTTTCTACTTCAAAAATCGTAATGACTCTGCAACTTTGTTGATGACTACGTTACTAGGTTTAAGCCAAGGAACGCCAAGGAGTATACACTGCAGCATCGACTGATTTTGATTTGTCTTTGATTCTTGAATATATGTAGATGTTTTGGAAATTAAGCGACAAACTTAGTTCTGAATTTTGTTTTTTGACGGCTACTTCTACAAATACAAAAAGTGCGTGGCAACGAAAGATTTCCAAGTTGCTTGTAACAAATGATACATTTTGGAGGCAAAGCATTTACTTGTATAGCTAAACAACAAATAAGTTTTTGAGTGGAAACTTATATAGAATTTTTATGTAAATAACTTCAGCTTATAAAGGAAAAGGCCAATTAAAAGAGCATACATCTAACCAAGCCGAATTTAATTTTCAATTTCCAAGCGTAAAGGCCATTTTTCTGGAATTGACTTTAGAATAGCCTGTCTGGCAGTCCTGGAGGTGAAGGTTTTGTAAGTAGTATTTTGTACAGCGAGATTAGAAATAATGAGAGCGAGAGCAAAAGTAATTCTTTTAATTCTAATATAACTTCTGGAAATTAAGTCAGAATCTGGCTTGTTATCTGAAGCAAAAGGGCAAATAAAGTGTGAGAGTTAGTAGTAAAATTAAAATGATTAATAAGAGAGTAATAAGCTCTTTCAAATACACATTTAAATTAACATCCTCCCCATTTTAATTCCTTTCCTAAAACATGTTAGTTTTTTTATGCCCTTCCCATTATGTAAGAGAAACTAGCAAGCTAAGATGAGGTCCGCTAGCGGCAAACCCAAGAACTTTAGATCAGTATCATTAGTCGCTACATGGACTCCACAAACCTTAGAACTTTCAGAATAATTACTCGTTAGACTTAATTTCTCTGTCGGTTAAATTTAGTTTCATTCTTGAGAAATTACATAACGGAAAAGGAATTACTAATAATTTAAAAGTGTATGTGTAAGAACTTAATCCACTTTAACAGTCAGTCTAGTTTCACTATTGACTGCTAATTTTTAGGCTTTATCTATACTTTCAGCGAGTTTCTCTTTCAGATACCGAATCAAACTTTGATTAAGTACATGCATTATGGAACAAACAGTTTAAATTTGTTTTAACCTTTTGAAACGCAAGATTCCAACTGTGATTAAAACTCAAGATTTTTCTGCTTCACGTGGTTTTATCCCATAGGCTTCGAATATTTTCTAAACTTGGAATGGAGATCTTGACGGCGTGATATATGTTGTTAGCCTTGAATTACATAATCTGAGAAGATACATCCCTTAACAGTTTCAACTTACTTTTTACGGAACTAAAAGCAAGGAAAATTACTGAGACTTGCAGCTGTGCAGTATAGTGTGAATTTCCAACTAATTTATAGTAATACTCAATCATTTAACTAAATGAGGCTCTTACTTCGTCCTCACGCGAATTGCCTTTAGCTAAAGAAATCTAAGTTTAAGTAGATTTAACTCAGATAAACAAACATCTGGGTAATTATTAACCTTAGGAAACGAATAGATTTAAATTTTCAGTATCTCAGTGTATTGAACAGGAGCATGCAAATAGTTCCCTGAGAACTATACCAATAAACCAAAAAGTGAGTACAGGGATTAACCAACAGTACAGGGATTATGCTATGATGATTATACCCAGTGTGTTACGTTCGCAAGCTGGTGTTTGCACAAAAGGATCGCACAGCTGGATTTTTCATAGTGAATTTTGTTTTCCTGTGAAACCTTTTTTTACAAGGAACGGTGTCTTGAACCTGAACACCCTGCACGCGTCGGCGCATGAAAACACAAGGTATACGCGTGCTCATGGAAGTCAACAACGCTGCATCATAAACGTTTGAGCTGGTATTATCGATGCCCTGAATTATGTTAATTGGCTCTTACTTACTAACTAAACGCCTCGATGGGAAAACTATTTCAGAAAGAGTGTTGCCGGATCTGATGGTTGACGTTCCAGCAGCTAACGCCGAAACGTCTGGCTTGAGTATGATGGAGCGCCTGCACATTTTAACAGCGCTAAGAATACTTTGAAAGGACACTGTCAGAGGCTGACCAGTCGCATGGCCACCGCAATCCTCCGAACTGACGTTTCCGTATTTCTACCCGTTGGGATAATTGAACCCTGGTGTACGAGACAATCGTCGACACGGATCTTGCCAATAGGATAGTGGAAGCGACGGCACGTGTTCGCCACACACCCGCCAATTCTGAACAGGTACGTGAATCCATGCGTCGACGTTGCGAAGCATGCACTGTGGTGAATGGGAGTAATTTTGAATATCTTTTGTGCACTGCAGAACTTCTGTGAACTGCAGAACCTCTTTGTGAACTGCGGAACTATGCACCGCACAGCTCGTCAGGCGGGCCGGACTGCGTCCTAAATAAATAAATAAATATCTTCTATGATTTAACCATGTTCTTTAGCAGCACTGTGCGGGTCATATTAACAGCTCTTTCGACATCCTTTCTTTCTCCCCCTCTATGCCTGCGAAATCGCCTTCTAGCATTTGGCATTCACATTTTCGCACACAAGCTCCTATGTAAATCTTATTTGTCATAGTATGACAGACGAGCATGTTAAGCTTAGCAGCGACCTTTTGAGACACCCTATATATTCAGGGCTTAAATTCAGTTGAAACCCGATTCCGTTATTTCTTAATTTTTAAGTGAAATTGTAATCCCAGTGGGAGCCCTAAATAAGAAGAGGTCCAGCATTTATTATTATTATTATTCAACTGTTTGTAATTAATTTAACTTATTTTATTTACCTCTTAACATTTTATCGAATTTCAGTTTTAATTATTTTATTAATTTATTTACTAATTCTTTATTAGTTATTTCATTCATTTATAATTTTTTTTTCTTGACAGTCTTCCGAATGGCTCCGGCAATTCTAATTTTAGGAATTAAACTCTGGCTATGGAATAAAAATGATCTGTACTGATTTTGGTATGCTCCATTATATTGCAAATGACTTTCATCCTGTCTCTGAAAGGAAACGATACAACCACCATAACCCCTTAGTAAAGGAGCAATCCTTAATAATTTTAATAATGTAACGCCATAGTGATTCTCTCTCCAGAAATAATAAAAAATAAAAAATAATACTAATATATCTCAAGATATTGCCCTGATTTATGATTTGGCATCTTGTACTCAAGGATAATTTATATCTTGCTTGATTAGAAAGCAATATAGCGTATATCAGTGATGGTGAAAGGATGGTCTGCGGACCTTGTTCGACCTATCAATTTATTTAAAAGGGCTCGCGCATTATTCTTATTTTTAAAAAGATATTTTTGCCGTTTATGAAGATTCAGATGTCATTATATCATTTGCTTGAGAACTGTAATTCTGCTGGAACCTATCACAGTGCCTTCGAGAAGATATGGCTTTGCACCACCTCGTTTCTGGCTTTTGTTTTAGAATAATTTTAATTAATTTACTTTTACAAGGACTGAATATTTTTGCTTTACGATCACCTTCCAAAATACCATAATATTTTACACCAATCGCCAAATTTTAAATACTTAGTTACTTCGAGTAATTGGATGCTCTTTTCTCGCTTTCTTCAACAATGACTCACCTCTACAAAAAGCGATAGCGTGATCACATCGCTAACCGATCGCGAGTGTTCGAATCCTCCTTTCTCCATTCCTAGAAGATACTTTTAGGTGTCTTTGTATTATTATATCCTTCGTTATTCTCAAGACCGGTACCACAACTGGTGTAGCCGCACAGGGCGGCGGAGTTTAAGGGCAACAAAATTTTTAGAATCCAGAGAAGAAAAATTTAGAGATGGAAAAATTATTAGATTTTAGTAGAGGCATTGAAAAGCAGAATTTGGGGACGCAAAATTTTTAGAGTTTAAAGAAGCACTTGGCTTTCCCGCCCGTACAGATTGCACCGGGCGCAAAATGCCTAGCTGCGGCTCTGCTTTGTTCTAGTTGGGATTTATTTACCGAAGCCGTATAAGCTGATCCTACCGAAGCCGAATGATTCTAAGATCAAACATATAGATCGTAAAATAAGGTTTGTTTAGTTGTCATTGTAACTTCTATAAAAATACTGTCTGCACCGTGGAATTTCATCCGTACATTCGTACATCCGTTCATTACTTAACAGTAAAATGATTGTAATTAAAATAAACAAAGCGTGCTAACTGTTAAATGAGGATTTTTGCACTTCATCATAAAGTACCTAATACTTCTACTAAAAACTTTTTGACAAATGCAAATGTTGACACGTTGCTTGAATCATTTTAAAAAGTAAACTATACTCCTATTATGTACTAAAAATTAGGTGTAATCACTGGTACATCTGTATTTTTTATGAAAGAAAAATTATAATTTCTTTATAAGTCTGAGTCTATGAAATGAATCTTTAAAATCTGATGCCATTTAATCAATTTTTATTGGACATCAAAGATATAGACCGTTCAAATCAGAATCTATTATGTAAAATAAAATTTGTCATCTAACAAATAACATAATTTCTGGAATCACCGCTTTGAAATTGATGTAAAATAATATTATGAGATAAAAGTTAATATCTGGCCTGTTTCAATACATTTACTCAATTAAAAGAAAACTTTCTTAGGTAATTTCTATATTTGTTTCACAGTAACCGTATATCATTTATTTCTGTATTTCTCAATATTTCATTCAGACTCTGAATGTTTTAAATATTTATTTATATAGTTTTTTAATAAAAAGTTGATTTGAATTACAATAAAAATATTCTTAATTTATCTCACAAACGATTGAAAATTCATTTTTTTTTTCTTTACAGGAATTTTTAAAAAGAGAATTTAGTGTTGAAAATATAATGTTTTGGATGTCATGCAAGAAATACAGTACATTGACAGACAAAATTCAAGTAAGCAGCGTTCTCGAACTATGTCTAAATTTCATATGAAATACTTATTTTAAATTTCGAATTCTGTAATTTTAGCTGAGAAATTAATAAAAAAATAAACACAAAATTTTGAATTGAATACTAGTTTTTAAAGCTACTAAAATCAGTTTGCAGCAAGTTTAGTTCCTCTATTTTTAATTCCATTCCTTTCCTTTATTAATATGAAGTCGATTTGTTACAAAAAACATACAAAGCTACAAAAATAACTTTAAATGTAATATTACTTACACTAAATAGTTTCATTATAGTTTATTTAATTAATGAAAAACAATTTACGAACAGTGTTTTCTGAAAATTTGTAAGAACTTTATATCTCCTCCAAAGTAATTAAATTATGTCTGTATTAATTAGTATTTCTCAAAAAGCGTAATAGTAGTTAGAACATCATGTCAATAATATGAGAATTTTGCGTCAGTTTTAAACTGACCTTTGTTGTAGGGTTTAAGCGTATCATTAGCTTTTAACTCTCATCGTCTGTTAGTGTAATGTATTATCGCGCAAGACAACATGTAGTACGCCTGCAGACATCACTTCCAGAGCTTCGTTTTTGCTATTAGTTTCTTATTCTCCATCATTGTTCTGCGCACGAGCGCTTCGGCCCAAAAATGGGCGTTAGGTTTTTACTCCGTAACTGCCAATTTACATCTTGTAAACATCTATTGCTTTGAATATTCAAATACTCGATAATCACAGTTCTTGAAGTGTGCATTAGAAAGCAATTTTTGATGCGGAAAAACTACTAAACTAAAACTTTAAAATATTTAATTATTATTATGTAACTACATATAAACAAAGGTTTGATAAAAAAATAGTACCAACATTGCCATATCCGGAGAAATGTCTACAATGGCACTAATGTCTTCTTCAACTGATAACAAACAGTCAAGTGAAGTTCCTCAGTAAGCGGCGGTAGTTTCTCTCATTTGCACTGGGAAGTTGTCTGAAGTGCGGAGTAAAAGTATTGTCTAGTATCGTGTAGTCGCACGATGGATGAAAATGCTCCGTGCAGGAAGGGCTGGTATTAAAGATCGAGACAACCTTCATAGCGGCGCACCAACACAAAGGTGCGGCATTTTTATGCAAGTTGACCGCTGTTCGAAAAGACAGGAATCTTCATAACGGTGTCGCGGCATAAGGACGCATGCACAGTCTAAAGATCATTTTATCACTTGAAACTGATCGTCAGTACCTTTAAGCCAATTCGGCGTTTTTCATAAAGGTGCGCACACTCTTATGCAAGTCCAATTTCATTTCAGTTACTGGTAAAAAAATTGAGCATAGGATGAAATAAATCTTCTGGGTCTAACTGAAAAACAAGGTCTTCGCATAGCGGTGCCTTCACACCTATGGAAAATGCTGAATTGTTATAAAGTTGCAGGCACCTTAATGAAAAACAGTGGATTGGCCCACAATTATAAGCATCAAGATCTACAAGCTTTCTAGAAAATAGAAAGTTGCTTTCTAGAAATCCCCTAGAAAAAGTCCCTCTTTATGAAATAGGAAGAAGGAATACAGAAGAAAATAATGTTATAACAAATTAATAATAAATAAAGTCGGTTAAGATTCCTGAATATTGGGAAATCGACCCGAGTTCAATGCTAGGTGAAAGGGTTGTCTGCATAGTTATTTTTGATGGTTGCATGTTCAACGTTAATAGGAACTAGTTGCCTGTGAAATGTCCTCAACAATGATGTCCCTCTTCTTAGGCCAAGTAGCTTTCGAGTGCTTTGTCATAGTCCAATAACCTAATTAACTGCGATGCAGTTTTATATAGTTATACATCTGGGATAATTGTAAAAAAAAATCCAAAGAGGAAGTTTACTCCTAGCTTTAGCAGTTTCAGGAAAATTGTGCTCACGCATATTTAGGAACGTTTGTTTGATAACACCGGAGCATAAA